CACTTGGATTGTTGGATGTGAGGTTAAACTCCTGGCGCCCACTCACAAACATAACTTTTTCTACGACTCACCCCCTTCTTTACTGTTGTTAGTCGGCATCCAACATTGGATTAATATAAATCCCACCTCTGGTGCTTAGGCACAGAAAGTAGGTAGCAATATGTACAAAATGTAATAGGACTCTGTGCATTTAACGAGAGTATCTCAAAATATTTCGTTATCTGTTTGTGTTTTACAGTATTATAATATTTGACACAAAAAATAAATATTTGTTAATACAATCCGATTGTACTTATTTGGGTACACACCTTTTTTATTATATATAAAAGAAAAAAATAATTTTATTGTAAGTACAAGTATAAGGAGAATATATTATTTTTTCTGATAGGGCGCTAGTGGGCGCTAGTGGGCACTAATGGGTTTAAATTCGCATATTATTCCATATTTAGTCCATGTTCGGTCTATATTTTAATAATTTGCATTTGTTTATAAAGTTGCTTTTATAAAATTAGACCTTTTACTTTTTTTGATATTATAGAGTAATTCGTGGATAGATAGCGCAATAGATTTACAGCTAGCACTTTCGTAAAAGAAAAGGGGAGACGCCATGATGTGCGTTAGTTCATAGTAAACAGTTAGTCACAGCGCCTGTGTTTACCTTCTTAAAGTGTATTCAAAAATTATTTATATTGTGATTCGGTTGGAACAAAAATATTTTTCTTAATTTCTTTTTTGTGCTAGTGAACTTTGAATTCATTCATTATTTTAGTCCAGATATCGTCTCAAGTAAGTAAAAACATTAAAGTTTGATTATATAACTATAAAATGACAAGTTGTGTTCAGTTTGTGAGGTGCACCATCTCTCCTTTTATGGTGAGGATAAATGGTTCACTTATTTTTAAGGTGAGATATTTCATTAAGATTTTTTCTTTTCAGTATGTCTACCAAATACAAGGGCACTGGAAGTTGCTACAGGACCAGTTGGATTAAACAACAGGTAACCGAAGCCATTTAAGCCGTTAATGACAATAGAATTGGAGTTAATAAGGCTGTTCGAAATTTTGGCGTACCGGCAACCATTCTACAAAGAAGAAAATTAAGAAAAAATGTATATAAATGCCCTCTTCTGCCTTTTCCCAGCTTAGGCGAAGCTGCTAAAGAAAAGTTGGCCAAACATATCCTAAAACAAAACTTCAGAAAAACGGATTTTCTCTTTAAAGAATTAAGATTAGCTGGTTTTCCATGGCTTCAGTTATTTTTACAGAGAAACCCAAGGCTGTAAGAAAAGCATTAATCGATCCTTGGGTATGAACAAAAATGACATTGAGGTTTATTTTCAGCTTCTAGAAAATATTCTGCCCGAAAACGATATGGTGAGCAAACCTAGCCACATATATATTGACGAAACTGACCTTTAATTAAATAATAGGCCTGGGCATGTCATTTAACAAAAAGGATTCAAAAACATCGCAAGTATCAGCTCTGGAGAAAAGGGAGAAACTATCACAGTAATAGCTTGGTGTAACGCGGACGGCGTTTTTATTGCCCCTGTCTGCGTAATGAAGGGCACAAATAAAAAACAAGAGTTTGAGTATGGGATGCCTCCAAGATACATGGTCTACATTCTACATGTCGGAAAAATTGCCCTTTGTGAACAGCGACATATTTTTTAAATGGCTGAAAGATCAGTTTGTTCCCAGAAAGCCGAATGGGACAGTTTTAATATTACTGGATGGTCATACGTCACACTGCAGTAACGTTGAGATACTGGAATATTGTGTTGAACACAACGTTATAATATTTTGCTTACCGAGTGATACGACTCAATTTTTGCAACCTCTGGATAGATGTTTTTTAGGTCGTTCAAATTAAACTACTACTCGGCTTATAATTTATTCATTATAAATAACCCAGGACAAAAACTCACCAGATTACAATTTGAAAATTTACTTGCCGAAGGATGGAACAAGTCTGCAATTTTAAGGCTACGGGAATTGTGCCTTTTAACCCTGCTGCTAATTAAGATAACGCCTATTTGACTGAAACTAGTAGCATAGTTGATATCCCTGACGCTGTTGCAGTGGAAAATAAACAAAATTCTAATGATAGATCGTAAAGTCTTCGCAAAGCTTTAACTGATGATAATCAACAACCTTGCTGCAGTTTGCAGACAGGAACAGTACCAGAAATACAAAATGAACCGCCTGCAGAACTAAATGTGTGATCTGTGTCTAGTCCTGTGCCTACTCCTGGAAAAATACTGGATATAATCTCGCCTATTTTAGTTGTGTCTGCTAACGTTGTTTCGGTTCGACGAACGATCAAGCCACTGGCAGAAATTTAAACCACAGAGACAACAGAAAGAAAAGGCTGCTAGAAAATCAGAGAAAGATGAACCAGTTGTTAAGAAACCGAAAGTGGCTAAAAAGTAAGCTTTCAAATATGAATTATCCTCGGACGAAGATCTAGAAGCACCGACACAGACGATATGGACGACACTGAAGAGTCATGCACTGGTTGTGGCGAAATGAATTCCAAAATAACAAATCTGACGACTGGGTTAAATGCTTACATTGCTCCAAATGTTTTCGAGATTTCTGCTTCTAATTTGTTAACTTTTTCCTACTGGTATTATTCTATGCAAAAGAAAGTGATATTCTGGCAAAAATATTTTTTTTTCGGTTGCGTCATCTCACCTTAGCAATGTAGGGCAGATGGTTTTTATTTTTTAGTAGGATAAGAATTATCTTTTTTATGAGTTTTGGTTATTTAGTACATGTTCTTAATTCTATAAAGATTTATTTTTAAAATTAATGGAAATTTTAATTCAACGTATAAAAATTTTAACATTAAATTTCAAAACCTGAGCCATCTGTCCTCGAGTTATCCTATACTTCAGGAATTTTATTCTGTTTTTTTATTATTAAACCAAAATATGTTGAAATAAACTATATTCTGATATCCAACGCTAGTTTTATCATAAATATCTTTTTTCTGTAAAATAATAGCATATAAGTTTGGTTGTGAAAGTTTAAATGTAGCAGCTGCAGAGATTCCGAAATTTATTTTTATCTAGAATAGTAACATGAAGTTACTGAGACTTATTTACTTACACTTAATAACTGGTTTTAGTTAAAGTTATCTCTCAGTCAATCTAATTTGTCGTTATTATTATACATTTACGGAAACGTATTATCACACACAGACGACCTACGAAAGAATCTGTATACTTTGGCATGTTCCCTTTGACGATGTTTGAATGATTGTTTTATTAAAAACCGAGCGAGATTTGAGTGAAATTTTCAAATTGACAAATGGGACTCCGAATATTTTCTGATAACCGAGTTGGTAAGTCAGAGTACACAGAACGATAATATTGTTACGATGCATCCTGCAGCGTGCTGCGGTCGTCATAAAAAAGTACTAGAAAAAGAAGATAGAATAATCCAGAAATGTCTGAAAATGTCATTCCACGTCAAGGAAAAGTCTAGACAGTTCGAGAATGTTCGAGAAGGCTAAAGCAAGCTATATATGCGGTGATCCTGACGTCAATTGGGCAGTTTTATGATTGACGTTACATATTAATGTTATCAGTTGTATATTTGTTGTTAAAGTTGGGTTGAAATAAATTGTGATACCAAAAACCGGTGTAACAATATGGAGGATTTTAATCCTCTCCATCTGGAGTTTCGCAATTTTCAATAATTTTTTTTTGCTTTGGGAGTAAAATAATAAATTTCATTATTTTATAAGGGTAATTTAAAAAAATAGGGGTTAGAAGCAAAAGGGTTCAAGTGAATTGCGTTAGTTAATTATTTTGTTGGTGGAAAAACGAGCCAAGTAATTTTTGATGTCTTAACGCCATCTATCAGCTGGTAGAAAAAGCATGTTATTGAAAACGTGTAATTTGTTCGAGGAAAAAGGTTTAAGTGCACTTAAATCTGTTTACCACAATCAAATTTGCTTGTTTCGCGGTTGTGATTATTTAAGCAATCTGGGTGCGTTTTCGTGTATATTGGTTTTTGCGTGATTTATATCTTCCTTGGTTGAGGAAATGAATGAAAACTTTGTTCCTAAAGGTAAGGTTTTATACCATATTCTATAAAAAGAATTTTAAAATATTCATTTTAAAGTTGTTAGTGATATAACCTAATAAAAATCCCACTTTTAGCTGGACATAGCTATAATAGTAGTGATTCAGACCCATACCAAACTGATGAGGATACTTATTATTTTGTTCAGGATGATGATCATGATCCTAATGTTAGTCAGAACCAGTACCATACCAAGTCTTCAGACAGTAGTGGTTCAGACACTGAAGTAAGTAAATTTAATTTAAAAACTTTTAGTTCTTCCAATCGGTTCTATAGTTGGTTAGCTTGGTTTTGTTTAGAATTTAAATTTCTGTTACAAATAATTTGTTGTGTCACTGGAGTTAAAATGCCTGAATCCATGCGTTTCTTAATATTAGTGTGTTTTTATGTATTGCTAAAAAGTTTATAAACTAAAATCACATTTTATTGTAGTTACTCTTCAAAAACCAAGAAAAAGAAGGGTGAATTCTGCTTTACGAAAAATGCAAACTAGGAAAAATGACAGATTGCATGGTTTGCAGAATAAAAGAGCTAAGTGGAAACAAATAATGAAAAGGGAATTAAAGCCATATGAACACCGATGTAGATATAAATGCAATAAAAAAATATCTGAAGCTGAGAGACAAAACTTTACGAAATAGAGTCCTATGTCTTACAAACCAACTTTATCGCATCATGTGTTTCGAAAATTGAACCAAGTGGTATCACATAAAAAATTTAACATCATAAATAAACTACTCGGTTTTAGGGTGTGTAAAGCCTTTTTCTAAAAACTAAGAAAAGATTTTTAACTGTTTGTAATAAAAAGACAAATGAAGGCTTTGTTGAAATGAATCAACGTAAACGCCAGTCACCTGCAAATAAAATTACACACGCATACGAAATGATGTAATTTCCCATATTGAAATGATCACACGATATAGAAGCCACTATTCTCGAACTAAAAACTCCTGCACCAGATATCTTCCACAACATCTTAATATTACCACAATGTACTTGCTTTATACTGAATGGTGTAGAAAAGAAAATAAAACTACTGTTAAAGAATCATACAACAGACGTATTTTCGTCAACGAATTCAACCTTAAATTTCACAAGCCTCATTCTGTTACCTACCATACCTGCGACAGGTTAAACAATATGATGATTATTAGTCCAGATGAAGAAGTTAAGAGGCAAAGTAAAACTAACCTTACGCTACACCAAAAAAGGGTTGAAGCTATAAAACAGACGAAAAATGTTGATACCAGTTACGGTAAATTAATTCCGGCAAAGTGAGAGTAATTTGCTTTGACTTACAAAAACTCTTCCTACACCAGTATTAACTACAAATAAGGTATACTACCTGCGGCAACTGTGGACCTACAATTTCTGCATATATGACTTGATTTCTAGAAAATCTCGTATGTTTATGTGGAATGAGACAGTTGCATCTAGATGTTTGCAGGAAAATGGATCTTGCCTTTTAAAGGTCAGTTATATGCATAAGTAAAATAAAGGGCAAATTTAACATTCATTTGTTTTGAATTCAAAACTTGCTGTTTTACCATTTTAACAAAACGTTATTTTTGTATTTGTCGACACGTGCTTTGCTAACTATGTTAAAATCTTCGAAAGAAGATCAAAGCTGTCAGTTTTAATTTTCTCCCATGATGCTAACATAGCCAAAAAATCGCATGTAAGGAAACAAGATAAAGACAGCGATAATGACATAGCTCCCAGTGATTCAATGGAGCCAAGGATGGAAATAGATTCGAACTATGATTAATAAAAACACTAGATACTTACTGAATATATTAAACTTTTTTAGAATCAGTTTTTATATTTTTTTACCTTGATGAGCATTTTTAATAAACTCTGTATCATGATACATGTGTATTTTTTGGATGCAAAATGGTTCAAGTGCATTTTTTTCAAAAAATACGGGACCTTTAAGCATTTTATTTTAATCTACTAAAATACTCTTCTACATATTATCATCTCCCGAAAACTTTTTTTAAATATGTTTTACCTAGATTTTACAACGAAAAGAAAACTTTGAGCTCTAATTTCTTTATTTTTTAAATTTTGCATTTAAATCCTTTTGCCTCTAACCCCTTCATTTGTTTTCGAATAGTTTTTCGGACCTTTAAATCGATCCCATCAATCCCAACTTTATGATTTTATTAGGTATCCCATTGTGCAGATTTTTTCGGAGCTATTCCCGTAAATCATATTGATTGCATTCTACAAGCGACATCGATGCCGTTCCTGCATTTATAAATCGTATTGATACGATATTATCGATTTACATATATGCGTGCAATATTAAATTGCTACTTTATTCAACATGATCCTTATAAAATATGATATTATATCGGGCGGACGCCGACTCAACCATTAATCGTAAATAATTTTTTATTAATATCTTTGGGACGCTTTAGCTTTCATTTTTCCTATCATTATAATAGCCCGGAACAACGAAAGTGTTTTCAAAAGCGAATGTAAAGGAAACAAAAAAAATACCGTTACTCGATCTATACGTGAAATGCGTTGATAATTTTTAATGTAGAATTAAGTACACCTATATTGTATTAAAAAATAATATAAAGTTCATTCTTGGAAAGAGTAAATAGGAACAACTATACCTAATTATTGTAAGATTTAAATATTTTTAAACTATACAGGGCGAGCCAATTATTTTTGATTAGAGCATAGTAGTTAAACTAGAGGATTCAGATAAATTAAAAATCAGTAATATGGAATACCAATGAAGCTTCTTTTTTAAAAATACATTCGCATAAAGGCTTAATAATATAAAAACTGATTCACCTCATCTGTCATTTATAAAGTGTTGTCTAATCGTCAGAATAGTAAAGAAATGTACAGTTGTTTTTTTGCAATGTTACTAGCAAAAATTTATTTAAATTTATTTAAACCTCTTGGCAACATCCTAATCTAACGTTACTTAACATCTCAGGCGTGACCGATCTAATCACAAGCGTTATTCGTCTTCTAAAAGTGGGAGTTTAATTGCATTTAGTTTTATTTTCAAATGAATTTGAAAACTATAAAAGACGAAGATCTAAGATTTGGTAGACATAAATACAACAGAGCAGTTGATGACGCTAATATCAATAATGCAACTTTAAAAACAATAAAACTAAAAGTTTAAACAATTATAAAAAATAAAATATAATTTTTTTTACCGAAACAAGCAAATAGTCTATTAAAAACCAATTTTCAAATTGATCTGACGAAGAAAATTAAGAAATAAAATACAAGCCAAAATTTTAAATATTATACGCGGTAAAACCATTTGTCTACCTTCTGTACCGATGATTTTAGTTCGCGCGTTCGTTTATAGAGCCAGTTGACTTGTTCCCATCAAGAATTTCAAACATTCTATTTGGGACATAGTTTTGATCATTTAAAGCCAAACTGAAGATGAAATCTGTACCTATTCAAGAGTACCTGTAATTAAAATAATGGCAACATTGACAAATCACTTACATCGTATCAACAGAAATTTCTGCCAATAGGGCATCCATCAAATCCTACAGAGAACCATGCAAATAAATTCACATGGTCTTCTGTAGGATTCACTACATCGTATTTTAAATTTTCTTGTTTTATTTCATGAAGCTGTAAAGTCATTTGGTATAATTTTCTTAACTGTTCGAGAAAATTTGGAATTATTATTAAATAGGATTAGCATTTGTATTTAAAGCGACTAACTTTTTTTAATTTAAAATATCTTTTGATCAATTTAAAAAAAATATTAATGACGTCATAGTTTCGTTAACCCTTTAATGCTCACGACATTTTTTTTAAATTTTAATGAAACATGTATATTCGATATCAACACTTAATTTTGAACAAAACAAGAAAGTACAATGATCTTGTAAAAGTTACAATGATTGGTCAGGATTTTCCAGTTGTTGTAATCTCCAAGCATTAACCGTAGCTACATTCAACATAATATGTGTAAACAGCGACCACCACCATTTTTTGCTACGAATACTAATCCGGTAGTTGTTCACATACTGGTGTAACATATCAACTCCACCTATAGAACGGTTATATGTTTGAAAAAGCAAAGGCTGTGGGACATCTACTTTTTCCTTTTCTAAGCTGAACCAGCGTTTCATTTTACCCAAGGGCTCAACTCGATCATAATTTGTCCCCATAGTTACGACGCTATTGTCTTTCCAGCGTACAAAGAGTAGTTTCGATTCGGCGTCGTACCTTATTTCATAACAACCACGTTCCTTCTTTTTAAAAGCTTTCTGTTTGGTAAGTGGGCAGCGTCTTGTGCGATTTTCCCTCATGTGTCTTCTTATCTCGTAAAATAGCCAGAAGTTCATGACTTGTGAAATAATTATCGAAGAAAACCTCATGATTGGAAGGGACTGCGATAGCATCAAGAAGTTCCAGTACAATCTTAGACCCCAAAGAAATTGAACTCAATTCGTTTTGGTTATTAGATAGGTCCACAGTACATACCAAATGTATAGCAGTAACCGGAGGCGCTACAAAGAATCCAATATTTATAACTAAATCGTATTGGCTTGCTCCTTATGAATTGTTTGGCTGAATGATGACCATAGCAACAGACCATTGCTTGGCCAATTGACAACTTATCATGGAAGATCCCCGACAGCTTAAAATTTTGATTTAGCAAAGACATGAGTGGGCGTAGTTTAGCCATTTTGTCTGCCTTATCTATGTTATTGTTGTCAGTCAGATGTATATACTTTTTATATTCAAAAAGCGATTTCTTGACATTGACTCAGTGACAAGTGGCACATGAAGATCTTCATCGAGGCTCCAATAAAGTCTCTCTCGGGGCAATTTATGGTTTCCACTGAGTAGCAGGATACCAAAAAATACTTTTATATCAGCTTTAGACACAAAAAAGCTATGATCGTTTTTCTACGTTGAGTATAAATTTGTTTTCTCCACAATTAGGCTTAGATTATCGTCTTTGATGATTTTCTCGAAGACCTTAATAGACTCTAGCCCTTCTATCTCGTATTTAAGTATATCTTGTCGTTAAAAACTGCCCTTGGTGGTGCTCATATCGATGTTTACACTCTGACTTGTCTACTTTGGCTCTGGTTTTTTCAGTGTTTGATCGCGCGGAACCCTTCTTACACTTCTGCTGTGAAATACTTGTACTGTCTTCAATCTTTCTGAAAGATTGATATCATCTTCACTGTCCGAGTCCCCGAAATCATTATAACTTTCATGCCATCGAACTTCCACTTCACCAGAAATTTCATTGGGAAGGGTATTTTTGCTTTGGAGGTGGTCTTCCTCTAAATATTTCTTCGTCAGTTTGAGTATCGACTGGAGGAGGAATAATTATGACGTCAACATCGCCGCTAACACAGATCTGTACCAATGGTGGTAGGAATGGGCGTCAAATGCAGTTACCGTCACATGCAATTTGCCACCAGTGCAACATTGATGGATGTGCTTAACGACGCCCAAATTTGATTTAGTTAAAAAAATTAGCAAAGTTGCGATTATTTTAACAATTTTAATTTTTTTTTGTTCAGGAAAACTAAATAATTTCTTTAGAAAAGTTTCAGCGTAACACAGATTTAACTTAACACGTACATAGGTATTTTTTTCTTTTACAATTCATTGAAAAATGTGAATACAAGATACATTGTGAACATCAGACAAATGTGAATATAAAACTAAACAAAACTAGAATAATATATAAAAAATGATTACACCGAGAGCTGAATCCACACGATTTCTGGTTTAAAAAGTCAACGCCTTATCCACAAACCACCGCTAGATGCATTTGTTTGCGAGACGGTATAATAATGATGCAGAAGCCAAAGTACTAGAAGTTTAGTGGTTTGTGCAACAAGAGTTGATATGGACAATTCACTCGAGTTGTACAGTATATTTTTTCTACGACCCACTAACGAAAATATACAAATTTAAAAAATTTGTTTTTAGACAAAATAACTAATTTTAAAATAATTTATGACTTTAACTAATTTATAAAATAAAATAAAATAAACATGAAAAAAAAGATTTAACTTAATTATTCCTCAGCTCAGATTTGAACCCAGACCTCTCGCGTGGAAGACAAACGCCGTGTCCTCACCTCCATCGCCACAGTTACGATTTTAGTTTTAATTCTCTTAATTAAATTAGTTTTGTATAGGTAGTTCGATTAAAATTTAAGATTTATTTGTAAATGTAGACAAAATAAAAAGAAATGCTATTATTTATCGATTCTACACAAAAATAACTAATTTTTACGTATATAACTA